ATCATAGCCGATTTAAGGCTGGTAGCTGTATTTCGACTACAGCGGTCTTTGGTTTAATAAAAATTTTGTAATTTTAGATAAATTCATAAACAACTAGTCCGAAAGACAAAGATCAAGCCACCGTTATAGACCATTGTGACACTAAAACGTTGCGCTGTAAAAAAGCAAACAAAAATGAAAGAGAAGTGAATAAAACTTCGTCTGAAAATCTAAATAAATTGAAATTTTTTAAAAGCACAAAAAAGTGCAGACATCTTAAATAGGAAAAGATCAAAAAAGGTTAAAAAAACTTGAGGACATTTACCAAAATTACAAAGTTCGCTGCTTGGTAAAACAGACTTTAAGGAATTCCCGAAAGTTCCTTCAGTTACACAAAAATTCCATAAAACAGTGTAAAGTCTCTAATACGAAACAAAGCCTTCTACATTATATGTAGCTTTAAGAATGTCAACAGTCCAAAAAAGAAAAAAAATACTAACCATAAATCAAAGCAGTTTTCAAACTTTTCAAAAACGCATCAAAGAAATTCAAAAGATTAAAAAAGAAACATGTGCAGAAACACGACTTAGAAAAATTAAAAAGATTTGCGAAATCGGAAAAAAAAAACAAAAAGACTTAAAGTAAAACAAAAAAAATTCAAAAACATAACTTATAAAATTTTTAACCACCCGAAAAACAAATGAAAGCAGTACCAAGACCAGAAAACATTCTACAAAGTATTCAAACAGGAGAGAAAAAAGTGCTGAATAAAACCTGAAATAGCCTTGTTCAAAAGCAAAAAATTTTTTATTTGCAGAAACTGGCAGGCAGAAAGATTGAAGAACAAGATTGATAAACAGGTGAAGAAATGAACAAATTAAAAAACAATAATAAGATAAAATTTTTTCATTTAACCAAATATTTGATAAGTATCTGAAGACAAAAAAAAATAAAGAATTTGAATATCAAATATATTGGTGAGTTTTTTGAGATGTGTTCTTAATCGGTATAACGTCTATAATCCATTGTTTACAGGTGAACTGCTAACAAACTGACGTCATCAATCTGCTTTTTAAGTTTAAACAATCATAATCGATCATTTTTACAGCAGAAAAAACTCAGATGATAATCTGCCGACAGTGATAATGACGACCGTTAAAGCAGCAAACAGCTAAACAGGTCACCCAGTCATTTACAAAAACTATCTAACAAAAAAGCTGATAGAGCAGTTATTAGTTTTACTGCAAATACAGCAACAGTGCTTCTGTCAAAATTATGTCTAGCGACAAATCTTTGCTGATCATTTTCAGTGTCAGTGCCAGCGATGTTTATGATGATAATTATCTGTGATAAACTGCGCAGTTTTGAACAAAAGTGTGATCTAGAAAATCCTAAATTTTTTTGTAGTTTTGCGTTTCTTGAAAAAAATTGACAACCGTCTGATCAGTTTCATCTCAATGCTTTCTATCGATCATCGAATGTGTTCTTTGTAATTTGTGAAGCTGAGACAATTTAGGACTCAACAAACATGTTATATATGTTGGAAAAACAACTTTTTTTTTTTGCATATTACTCTCCAGTAACTGCGCTACAGTTACCTAGAACAGTCAAAATATAACTGTGATAAGATAAACTGATTTTTTAAAAGCAATATCAAAATCATATTTAATTATTTTGTTTTGGCTAATCTATTCACTGTACGTGTATATTGGTTTAAACCAGTTTTGTAACAGCTGCTAAACGTCAAAAAATACCTTTCGTTCTTTACGTAATTTTTCACGCTTTTGACGTTCAGATTTTGCACTTTTTATTGCTGGTACATAGATCGCTGTTGGTTCCAACGCCGTCGTACCACCACTTTGAACGTCTCGGATAAACACTGTTATATAATACAAATCACCAGCCTGAAAAGCATATAATCAATTAAAACATAAACACAACAATAAGCAGTTTTACAAAGCAATAAAGTAAAACAATTTGAAGAGAATACATAAAAGTAAATTAAAAAAAGTTAGAAAAAACTTCAATTTTTACATCTTCTGCTTCAGTATAGCCTAATTTGTAAATATTTTCTTAACACAGTAATTCTAACTTTAAGTTTTGGAATGTTTAATGTGTTGGTTGTTTGGTTGACACAGTGTATACTTTCCAAATTTTCTCCAAGTTCATCACATATAGTCCATTCCGGTTGTTTCCGGCTAACTGTTACACAGAATTTATAATTT